TAAATAAATGTAATAAATAAAAATAAATAAATATTAAAAAAAATAAAAAAATAAAGCAATTGGAACAAAAGAATGCAACATAAGAGCTACGGATAGCAAAGGAAGAAGCTAAATTATTACTTGTGATGACATGATTGTCTACATAGAAGACCCCAAATTTCCACCAAAGGACTGCTAGAAATAATTACTAAATTAAGTAATATAGCTAGAGTCCACACTAAAAAAGTCAACAGTATTCCTATATACCAATATCATACTCACCAAAAGAGAACTTAGAGCAACAACATTTTCAACAATAGCATTGCGATGGAGATGTAGCTCAGTGGCTCAGGGGCACAGAGCAAGCCTGGCAAGCACAAGGTCCCTAGTTCAATTCCCAGGACCACAAACCAAAACCAATCCAAACCAAAACCCCAAAACAATAGCATCAAGGGAAATGAAATACTTAGAAATTAACCTAACCAAGGAAATAGAAGACCTTTACAATGGAAACCATAGAACTCTGAAAAAAATCCAAGAGGATATGAGAAAATGGAGAGATATCCCCTTGAATAGGAAGAACCAATATAGTAAAAATGGACGCAATTCTAGACCTGTTATACAGATTTAATGCAATCCTAACCAACATATCGGTAGTGTTCCTTACAAAACTAGAGAAAGCAATCTAAAAATTCAAATGGAACCAAAAACAACCTAGAGCACCAGAAGCAATTCTAGGAGTGAGGGCATGGGAGCACGATGATCCCAGACTTCAAATTCTACCACAAAGCTGCAGAGACAAAAACAGTATGGTACAAGAAACACACACACACACACACACACACACACACACACACACCCCCAAACCACCACCCCAAACCAAACAACCAGCTTGTTGATAAACCTAACAGAATAGGGGATTTGGAAACACTACGGCCAACCAAATAGCTCAGCAGGTTAAAGCATCTGCAAACAGGCACAGGGGCCAGGGGATTCAATCCCTGGGCCTACTGTGCTAGCTCCGCACCTAGGGCATGCTGAGATGGTGTTTGAGACTGGGCTTGGTGGCGGGTACTTATAATCCCAGCTCTTGGGAGGCTGTAAACAGGTGGATCACTATGAGTCCAATCTAGTAGTGAGATCCTCAACACTCTGTAGGTCCTTCCCTAAAATTCTAAACTACAAAAAAAAAAAAAAAAAAAGGAAACAACTCCATGCACATTGTACTACCTTACCTTTTGCCAGAGGAAAGATGGCCTCTTTAACAAATGATACTGGGAAAACTGACTACCTATATTATGAAGAACCTAGACTGATGTATCTCACCACACGCTAAACTAAAATCAAATGCAGCAAAGATCTAAATATTAGAATAAAATCACTTAACGTTCTGGATGACAAAATAGGTAAGACAAAATGAAGACATGTGTAGGCAAAGAATGAACAAAATCCAGGTTGTACAAGAAATAGTACCAGGATTCAGTAAGTGGGAATCACATCAAGTTAAAAAAAAAAAGCTGCTTTTTTGAGACAGGGTCTTGCTGTGTAGTTCAGGCTGGTTTTGAACTCATGATGTATCCAGGCCAGCCTTGAACTCATGGTGCTCCTCCTGGCCCAGCTTCTGCATGTTGGAATTACAGGTATAATTCCACCACCAGGCCCTACTTTAAAAAGCTTCTGTGCAGTAAGGGAAATCACCAACAGAGTGAAGAGATAACCGACAGAAAGAGGAAAGCTTTTTGCTAGCTATCTGCAGAGGACTAATATCTAGAATAGATAAATAACTCAAAAAAATTAAACTCCCCCAAACTTAAGAACCAATCAAACAATGGGTATCTGAAATGCATAGACATTTCTCAGACAAAGAAGTACAAATGGTCAATCAATACATGAAAAAATGTTCAACATCACTGTCCATTCAAGAAATGCAAATGAGAAGTACATTGAGAGTCCATCTCACTCTAGAAAGAAGAGCTAATATCAAGAAACCAACCGATAACATGCTGACAAGGCTGTGGGAGAAAAGGACACTTTCTTCATTGTTGGTGGAGTGTGAATTGGTACATAATAGCTAACTACTGGAAGTAGCCTATATGTCCACCAGCAGATGAATGGATAAAGGAATTGTGGTAATTACACACAATGGAACACTACTGTGTCATAAAGAAGGATAAACCTGAGTCATTTGTAGGAAAATGGATGCACCTTGAGACAAGCTGGAATATTAACCAGGTCTCTCTTAAATGAGAAACTCAATATATCAAGTACAATATAGAAGACAGATAATATAAAATAGAAAAAGTTATTATAGTCCAGAATGGAAAGTGTATCTAATAGTGTACCTTGATTTAATGTAACTGCCTTGTGTGTTTTATATGTTCTTGCCTATTAATCTGGTTATTAATCTCTGTATATGACAGTTAACTAATCTCTATTAATCTGGTTATTAATCTGTGTATATGATAATTGATCTCTCTCTTTTCAGATAGGATCTTACAATGCATTTCAGGTTGACTTTATATTTACAGCAATCCTCCTGCTTTAGCCTTGAGAGTGCTTGGATTACAGAGTCTTGGTTACATTTCTCTTGTTGCTGGGACAAAATGCCCAATGCCCAAAGTTAAAGAAGAAAAGATTTATTTAGCTCACAGTTTGTAGAGGTTTCCGTCCATATTTAGCTGGCTCCAAGGCAGAGTGGCACACGGCAGAGGGCAACAGGTCACGGTAGTGGAAAATAGCAAAAGCAGAGGGCTGGCAAGATAGCTCAGCCGACTAAAGCACCTGCTTAGGCAAGCTTAGGCAAGCCCAGGGACTGCAGTTTGATCCCTGGCACCACACACCCTGCCAGCTCCGCCCTCAGGGCGGGCTGAGCCAGCCAGAGTCTAGGCACGGTGGCACATGCCTGTAATCCCAGCACTGGGGAGGCTGACAGCAGGAGAATCACCACAAGTCTCTGCTGGCCAGGCTGGCCACAGTGCTCTGTGGTGTTTGGCTGGCACAGGCAGCTGCTGTCTAGACACCAGTCCTCTGGCTATACAGACAGGTCTTTGAGGGGTTGCCGTTATCTCTACCCACCCACATTTCTCAGGTCTCCGTGCATAATGCAAAGGAAATCAAGGGCTCTCGCGCCCCACTCATCCTCCACGGAGACCTCACTGTCTCCTCCCACCTCTGGTCAATGAGAGCAGGGACAGGCATCCTGCAGCTCTCAGAGTAGAAGTTCCTCTCAGTCCTGAACGTAACTTCTTTTATTGTAATTACAGTTTAATTATTCATTATGTTTTAGTGATGGCTTATAATAAGTGCTTTGCAAATGCTCCTGAAATTTAGACCTCAGCCCTCCTAAGTCAGGAGAGCAGCTCCAGAATTCATGGCTCATCCTGCCCAGGGAAACGTCCCAGGGCCACACTTGCCACCCTTGGAAGAGGTGCAGTCCGTGGCCATCTGTCAGGCAGAGCCTAGGTTCTAGGCACGGGGCTGTATTTGAGGACCCATCGCTCCTGGGGCCCACTGGACAGAAGAGGATGTGGGCACCACTGAGGTTGGGCACAGAGACTGAAGGAAAAGGCAGGGCCGATTACCTTTTCTGTCACCAGCTTTTCTTCTTCCACCTCAGGAGCCAGATAGAACGAGTTGTAGGAGCCTAGGAGAGAAAACCAGCTTAGTCTCTTTCATCTCTGGGCAGCCAATGCTAGAACTCAGTCCCTAGGTGACCTGGATACACACCACTGGCAGGGGGCGGCCCGAAAAGCACAGCTCCGTCCTCGGCCACCAGCACGTTGTCCAGGCACAGGCAGGCTGCAACAGAGTGTGAGTCGGGAGTGAGCAGGGCAGGGCAGCCTCTAGAGTCACCCCAGAGACAACAGAGATGGGCCTTGTGTCTGTTGGGCATCCTCCTTCCGAGAGTGGCCAGGCATTGGCCCTTCCACCCCCCAGGCAGAGCTGCCTTGGCCACCAGTGTCACGTAGTAGTATTACCCCTGTCATGCTGTGAATGAAAAGGAGGTGGAGGGGGAGGTGTCCACACTATGAACCAGGGACAGGGGAGGGTGGGAAGTGTGTGGTCAGTGCTGTGACTGCCCCTGGGGGAAGGGTGGGTCTTCAGGAGGCTGGCAAGGCCAGTGTCCCTCCTTGGGTCTCAGGTCCCATCCTGACTCAGGTCCCAGGGGTGGCTTGGAAGCAGCTCCTCACTGGAGGCCGATGGCAATGTTTGTCTGATTTCTTTCTGGCCCCATTGGAGCTGTCCTTGTCAGCACTGCGACAGTGTGAAATCACAGGTGAGCCAGCCAGTGTCCTGCTGTCTGGCACATGATGCTCAGGAGGACCAACAGCCAGGGCAACATCTGGTAGTGCTGCCTCTAGCTCCCAAACCAGTGCTGGCATCCATGGGGACAGTGTTGCCTCTGGTGAATGTACAGGCTGAGCTAGCCCATTCTTCTTTATAGCAGGGATTGCCCGACTTAGACCCACAGGTAGCAGGTGTGCCCGCTGCCTCTGCTGTGCTAAAACCAGGGGAACCTTCGGCTGGCGGGCTGGGCCTTTGCTTCTTGCCCACAGTGTGGACACTGCCCCACCCATTCCTGGATCACAGTGTGGACCCTGCCTCCCTGTTCCTGCCTCAGAGTGTGAACCATGCTCTCTGCTCAGGTCCCCGTGGGGCCACTGTCCCCACCACCCAGCAGTCCTCTGCTGGCACTCGCCCAGCTCAGATGGGCAGGTGATACCCGTCACCTGGGTGCTCCGTATGCTTCTGCAGCGCGCTGAGACAGGCGAGGCACAGAGCCCAGAGCTCGTACTCCCGGAAGGGCCGGCCCAGCTGGGACAGGAGCTCCTGCAGCGACAGGCACTAGGGGAAGAGAAGCGTCGTGAGACCACTACTCCCCAGCCTGACACCCAGGGAGGGCTTTGTGGAGGGTGATGGGTGAGAACACTTTTACTCTCTGCCCCAGCACTCCAGTTAGAAGGGACAGGAAAGTCCCCAAGTCAAAGCAAGTATGGGTAAGGACTTGGGGACACTGTAGCCCTCGCCCTCTGCTGGCTGGAATGTAAAACTGTGCAGCTACTGCAGAGAATGGTAATTCCTCAAGCAACAAAGCAAAGCTATCCTAAGTTCTAGTAATTCCGCTTCTGAAGACACACTAAAAAGAACAGAAAGTAAGGACTTAAGAAGATATTTTGCCACCCATGTCAGGGGCAGCATCATTTGTACTAGTCAAGAGGGAGCAACCCAAACATGTATGGCTGGACAGAATAAAGGATGCGTTCTGTCCACACAGGGAAGTGTTACCCAGCGTAGAAAAGGAAGGGAATCCGGGCACATGCCACCACATGGCTGGGACTCAGGACATCATGCTGGGTGAAATAAGTAAGTGACAAAAGGACAACTACCGTGTGATTTCCCATATGAAGCACTGGGCAGTGTCCCATGCATAGAGACAGAAAGTGGGTGGCAGGATCAAGGGGAGGGGAGGAGTCAGGGTTTGGTGGGGACAGTTATAGTTTGGGAAGATAAAAGAGTTCTGGAGGGGAAAAAAAAAAGAGTTCTGGAGATTGATGGTGGTGACTAATGGCTGCGTGATGATGTGAATGCCCTCAGTTTACAGAAATGTGTGTAAAAATGGTGAATTTTATTCTGTGCATATTTTAAAAGACACACATATACACACTCATGCATGCATGTATGCACAACACACAGCAAAGCTGAAGGGGCAAGAACCCAGGGAGCCTGGAAGATAGTTCCTCCACTCTGAGGCCATGTGGAGAATCAAGAATAAAGCCATCATCCTGAGTGTCAGAAGACCCAAGTTTGAGACCTTAGTGGGAAGTTCCAGAGATCAGTGGCTTCCCCGAAGGCCCCCATCCAAGGCTCTGTGTGTACTGGTGAGGTTGAGATGTGCTGTGGCTTCAGTCCTATGACTCTTCCCAGGTCACCGGATTTGTGCTGTGTGTGGCCAGTGTCCCCTGCTGACTTTGGGATAGGAGATCCCAAGCCTTGTGCCTGCCTTGGAGGGGACTGAGGTCTGGAGGTGTCTCTGATCCCGCTGTCTCGGTCAGGAAGGCCTCACAGTAATGCAAAAGCTGGGCTCATTGTCAGCTTTGGCCTGTGCACACCCAGAGACCTCAACCCTGCCCCTCGGCAGCGCCTGCCGTCCAAGTTTCTGCAGCCACCTCTGCCTTGGTTTCTCCTGTGGATCATGACTGCTGTGAGGCAGTTTTGCACAGAAAGGCCAACCCACGGAGGCCATGGGAAAGCCCTGGGTGGCAGCTGAGGCGTGTGTGCACCTCAGACCCAAACAGAGCAGGCCGTCAGTGTCTTGGCCCTAAGACGGTCTACGGTGGGCCTCTGTCCGAGTAACTACATTTGCCACGTAAGTGCTCAAGTACCCCTCAGGGCACAGGAGACCTACTGTGGTTTGTCGCTGGGTGTCTCACGAGAGCCTCATGTGATCACAGGTTGGACTTCCGGAAGCAACCGGATCATGGGGGCTTAGAGTTGACTTTCCATTTGGAGGTGGCATCTAGTTGAAAGAGGTGGGTCACTGGGGGTGGCCTGGGTGGGTTTATCGCCCTCTTGGCTTCTCCTTTGATCTGTATCCCTGGTCACCATGATGTGACAACTTCTCTGCACAGGGCCTTCTGCACTATCACTCTGCCTTGGAGCCAGATGACAACAGACTGAAACCTCTGTGAACTGTGAGCCAAAATAAACCTGTTCTTTAAATTGTGGGTGTTGAATATTGTGTCTTGGCCATGGGAAGGTGGCCAGGCAATGATCACGGAATTACAGTCATCTGCCCCCTGTCCCTTGGGTCACCGGGGGTGTCACCCCATTGTTGGGCTCAGATACTGCCTGGTGAGTAGAAAGACGTGTTTGGGCCACTGCCCCCGCTGGCCTTGCTCTGAGGAACACACCAGGCCACAGAGTTTTTCCACGATTTGCTGAGAAGCCAAGTTGGGAATGTGGTTGATGCCGTGGTCTGGATGTGGCCTGAGTGTCCCACGGGTTCAAGTGTTGGAATTTTACCCGGCTGTGAGGTATTGAAGGGGAACTGAGTCTGACCACAGTGTAGAGAGATGAGGCCTCTGGAGAAGATTCGGATCATATAAGGTCATGGGGAAGGAGACCCCGTGGCACCTGGGGACCTCACAAGAAGAGGAAGAGGCCAGAAGAGACACACACTCCCTCTCTTGCCACACGATCTCGTTTCCTACCTTGGGACTCTGCCAGTATGAAGCCATCACTACATGTAGTTTTCACTCTTCAACCTCTGTAACTGTGGGCTAAATAAGCCTCTTTTCTGTCTCTGAAAAGTATCTTGTATAGTCATGAAAAATAGATCAATGCAGGAAATTACTTATGCACCTAATTTGTTCCCACTTGGTTGGGTGCTCAGCGCAGGATCCTGGGCTGGAGGCCACTCCAGTCACCTACAGCAACCCAGTCCTGCTAGACAGCTGGCTCACACAGGGCAGTGCGGGGCTGGGGAGACTATGTCCTGTGGAGGGGCTCTGTGCCGGCAGCCGCACACATTTTAGGGTTCATGAGGCCTCTGATCAGACCTGGATGCTACCTGGCCTTCTCCACCCACCACGAATGGCAGATGAGTGGTCTCAACACACAGTGTTGGTTCCCAACATCTATTCTGTTCTATTATTATTATTATTATTATTATTATTATTATCATTATTAATTTGTTTATTCTGTGTGTGTGTGTGGTACTGGGAATTGAACCCAGGGTACCTTTCTTTATTATTCGATGCAGGATCTGCCTAAGTCACTAAATTGTTCAGGCTGGGCTCCAGTTTATAATCCTCCTGCCTCGGCCTCTAAAGAGTATGGAGCCAATAGGCGTGTGACACTGCGCCTGGTGTGGTTTCTAACTTAGAACAATCAGAAGAGCATGGTGGGCTGGTGAGATGGCTCAGTGGTCTAAAGCATCTACTTAGAACAAGCTTAGCAAAGCACAGGGACCGCAGTTCAATCCCCCAGCACCACATGCCAGCCAGCCCCGCCCCCTGGTGGGCTGAGCTGGCCACACACACACACACACACACACACACACACACATAAATAAAATTAAAAAAAAAAAAAAAAAGAGCATGGTAAGGAAGGCCCTGAGGTTAGAACTGAGGAAACAAGGCTCCTGGAGGAACCCACCAGGAGCCACTGCCCCGGTCTAGGAAGAACATCAAGACTTGGGTCAGCTTGGTTCATAGGTTCGTGGGGCTGGAGCCGTAGAGGCCAGGGTGGGGCTGGAGGGGGTGGCTACTTTCTGGGTTGTTCAGAGAAGAGTGCCCCCCTTTAGCACTCTGGGGAGAAGCTCTGGCCTTGGGATCATACCTAGGGCGATGGTCGGCCTCACAAGCTTTATTAAAGAAGAGGGCAGCTTGCTGGGTGTGGTGGCACACCCCTGTAATTCCAGCACTGAGGCTGAGGCAGGATGCTCAAGAGTTCAGGCTCTCTCTAGGCAAGTTAGTGAGACCCCCATCTCAAAAAACAAAACAAACAACAAAACCAAAGCAACACAAGGCTGGCAATGTAGCTCAAGGATACAGTGGCCCTGGGTTTGATCTCTACTAATGAATAAAAGCGAAACAACAACAACAAAACCCAGAGCGGCTCAATGAACATTTTGAAATTATTAGGCAATAGTGAAGGCTGTGGTGCTCTCCTATGCTGACCAAACCCTGAGGTCCCGGAAAACAATGGCCACAGTGCCCAGCTGCACCGACTCCCCGAGCCCTCCTTGCCACCCACCTGCTCTGCTGCTGGGCTTCCTGGCTTCCCGCCTCCTTCCAGAATCCCCTCCGAGTCTCCAGGAGTCCGGGTTTCGTGGCCTGGATCTGGAAGGTCTCCAGGGTGGGGCGAGCCTCTGTTGTCTGCAGGCCCCTGGTCAGGGGATGCAGTGTCCGGCTGTCCAGAGGCCCCTGGCCCTCCGTCTGTGTTGCAGCTGGATCCTGGGTCCTCTTCCGGCTGGAATCCCGGCTCCTGCTCAGGCCATAGCCTGCTTTTGGACTGAGTCCTGAAGCTTGAGAGGCCATTTTTCCCCTCTAGAAGGAACCTCCTGGGGTCCGGGGGGAAGAAGTCGGATATAGTTAGCTGCTTTTTTGAGTTGCTCAGTGACAGGCAGAGGGCACTGGCCTCAGGGCCCTCAGACAGCAGCCTGGGGAACGTCTGCACCTTCCTCAGGCGGCTCCTCTTGAGGCTATCTCTGTCTGGCTCACCAAGGAGGGATGTGGTGTCCAGAACAAGGCTGGCCAGCCCCTCCCGGCTGGGGCTCTCGCCATTTTTCATGGGGGCTGAAAGCAGTGACTTGGTAGGTGGAGGCCTAGGGCCCCGGCTGGCTTCCCGCTCTGGGTCCCTGGGGACAGGAGGCTGGGGCTGGCCCTCAGGAGTGGGCAGGGCCTCAGGGTCAGCGCAGAGGTCTCCAGGGGGTCTCTTGGGGCCCACACTTCTTGGAGCAGATCTCCCTTTCCAGGTGTTCTCGCTGATGTCTGGGTACAAGGTAAGCACATGATTACCACAGAGGATCCTGGGCCAGGGACCCACACCCCAGGTGGCTCCCACAGCCACCTTGACCCCGCCCCATCCATCTCTACGAGCACCCTGAGCACACGTGTAACAGGTGGGGACTCCTGTCCCACCCCCAAAATCTCCCCCAGTGCAGGCCCAGAGACATCCTGCCTGCCTCCCCTGTCACGTCACCCAGCCAATTAGAGGCTGCAAGCAAAGAGGCTCCTGGGCTTTCCCCACTCCACACACACAGCCTCCCATGTGCTCAGCCCTTGCTGTCCCAGTTATCTTACCCCCAAGCAGCTCAGTTTTCTATTATGACCACATAAGTGATTCCCCAAAGGAGGAAAGTGAATCTGGCCACAGCTGTGGGATGCGCGCCCTCATGTACACGCCTTGGTGGAAGCCGTTCCAGACACCAGGGGCCTTCGGCCGCTCGGCTGCTTGTTTCACACTGCGTCCCTCTCACAGTGGCTCTGTACTCCTAGGTTAGCACCCTTTGCCATTGCCCGAGCAATGCTGGCAGTTGCCCTTGGCAAGGAGGGCGCCCTGGCCCCTGCGAGGTTCTGGGTGGCTGTGGGGCCCCGAACGTCCTTTTCCTGAGGCCTTCCAGGCCCCCAAGATGACCTGAGACTCATTTGAGCCATGGAGCCCCTGACCACAGCAACAGCTTTTCATGTGGAAGGAAAGGTGGCGCCCCAGACCTGGGCGGTGTGGCAGGCGAGCGAGGGGCCAATGCCATGTCCCTCTGCCGGCACACAGAGAGGAGCTAAGGCAGGAGTGGCAGGAGCCTCAGGTGCTTCTGCCCTTGATCCCCATCCTCACCTCCCGCTGCACGGCACTGCAAGGCCTGTGTGTAGTCCCTGAGTGAGTGTGGGTGTGAGAGCGTGGAAAAGCCTTTGCGTGAGCAATGTGTGACAGTGCAGGCGGTATGCTGAGAGTGAATGTGCGTATGCTTGTGTGTGAGTGTGGAGTACAAAGACTCTTCGGAAGGCGTATGTGTGGACAGTGTACACACAGTGTGAGCGTGTGTGTACGGGGTATGTATGTGTGTGATCACGAATGTGGTGGGTACTTATAGGATATGTATGTTAGCATGAATGCTTGCATGTGCATGTACGTGAGTTGATGTGTGTGCCTACTATGTGCACACTTTTGTTAGTGGGTGTGTGCATTTTGCACAGGCACATGTATATGTGTATAGACATGCATTCTATACACACTGCATGTTTATATGTACATGCACATGTGATTGTACATGTACGTGTGGAAGTGTGTTTGTGGGCATGTACATATGTGCATCATGCATGTGCTTACCCTGAAATGCTCCAAAGGACTCGATGGATAGCACCCTCCTCCCGATGGCTGAGAGACTCCGGCACAGGCGGTGTGAGGACATGGGCTGCATCTTCTCCTCACAGAGCGCTATGATGCTCTAGGGACACGTATGCACCTTTTAGGAACACAGACTCACTGGGAGGAGGGCCACCCTTCCGAGACCCACCCCTCATACACAGCGAAGTGGTGTTGCCTGACAGCCCCAGGGCCGCCCAACTGTCTACCAAGGGCACCTTCTGTCATAAAGGACCGGATGTTCTGGAATTACAGAAAAGTGTTTTGACCATGGTAACTGTAAGTCAGATCTTTTCATTATAAAAATGCATACTAAAAATCAAGTCTTGGTCTAAACAGGATGCAATGCTATCAAATTCTGTTGAGGGTGCTAGGCCCCCATGATGTGTGTGTATGTGCACAAGTGCATGCACATGCGTGTGCAGGCACTGAGTTCACGCTGGGGTGCGGGGGGGTGGGTTTCCAGGCTTCTAGTTACCTTTAGATCTGGCCGGTCCCTGGGCTCCTCGGCTTGCATCTGGCCAAGCAGTGTCTCCAGGTCTGGGCTGAGCTTGGGCTCCAGCTCAGGATCTGCCACATACTCGAGAGCAGCTTTCAGCGTGGCCCCCAGAGAGTAGATGTGCCCCTGCAGCACCGAGGAGGAACCGAGAAACCATTAGTGCCTCCCCTGCCTGTGACTGTCCTTTGTTAATCTGGAGCTTGTGGGCTGGCTCAGGACACTCCTGCAATAGTGTCCCACTGCAGCCACCGTACCAGGGGAAGCAGCAGCAGCAGCAGCCCATGAGGCCTCAGGTCTGGGCCTTCACTGGCTGCATAGCCCCAGCAGCCCCTTTTCCACTTCCCACCCTCCGAGCTGAGCTTGGACTCCGAGCCTCAACTGACTGTGCAGGATGCAGACAATGAGCTCCTGCCAAGCGGTGTAGTTCCTTTCTGAGCCGAAGGAGGTAGTGTGTGTGTGTGTGTGTGTGTGTATGTGTGTGTGTGTGTAACCCAGGGTTTCACAACCTTAGGCAAGATTTGAGCAGGATGACTTTTCTTTTTGTTGGAAAGTTGGCTTTTCCCTAACTGAGCCCGTGAGATTAGGTTCTGTTCATGGCTTAGCCAGGATGCAGCCTCATCAAAGGCCTTGGTCAGGGTCCTGCTAGGCTGATGGCAGCTAGTGCCTCCTGCAGCCAGGCACCACCATGCCTTTCTTGTTTCATAAAACAAACAAAAATGGCTGGTATTATATTGTAACTGCAGTGTTTTTTTATATTAATCTGGGTAGGACCAACTTTTTTACAAAATAAAATCTCTTTTATAGAGACAGGGTCTGTCTTTTCTGTTTGTTTTATTTTGAACAAAAAACTATACATATTTATAGGTCAAACTGCACAGTCACTGGGGAGATGGCTCAGTGGACTAAGCACTTCCCTGGCAAGTGCAAGGGCCTGAGTTCAATCTCCGGTTCTGCAAAAAAACAAAAAACCAAAAGCTGCCATGTCTTGGGCCAGAGAGATAGCTCAGTGGACTATGTGCCTGCTTAGGCAAGCGCAGGGGCTGGGGTTTGGTCCCTGGTACTGCCTGCCGTGCTCCACCTCCCCACTCCCCCAGGGCACTGAGCTGGTGACCGAGTCCAGGTGTGGTGGCACACACCTGTAATCCCAGCAGTGAGGAGGCTGAAAACAGAGGATCACTACGAGTCTGAGCTGCGTAGTGAGACCCTGTACCAAACACATACAAACAAACAAACAACAAAACAAAATGTATGTCTTTTTTTTTTTTTTTTTGGTGGAACCAGGGATTGAACTCAGGCCCTTGTGCTTGCCATGGAAGCGCTTATTCTACTGAGCCATCTCCCCAGCCCTCAAAATGGAATGTCTTGATGCGTGTTTACAATGTGGAGTTATTTGCTCCTGGCTTGTTTTCCTGTTTTTAAAATCCTACCTGTTGTATTGGCTCTTAGAATTCTTGTGGGTTTTGTGGCTATATAAATGGAATGTTTGAGCTTCATTTCTAACTAGTAATTACTGACATAAAGGTAAGCGCTTATTTGAGGGATGTATCTTGTGTTCAGCTGGCCTCTGTGTCTTCTGCTCTCTGTGTTCCAGCTCCACAGGATGCTGACAGATGCAATTCTTCCGTCCTGCACACTCTGTCCTGGGTCCTACCTCAGTTTCCCGAACCATCCATTTTCCTCGCGCTCCCACTGCAGACCCTGGGTCTCCCCTGCTTCTCATCGGTAAACACTAGAGCCCCTTCAGCTCCCCCTCCCATGCTGTGAGGACACAGTCGAGCCACCGCATGCCTTTGAGCCCTAGGGTGCTCCTCAGTGTTGTCACTTTTAAACCCACAGAGGCAGCAATGGGTAGAGTATCTGCGAGGGGCCGTGGGAGGAGTCTGCGGCACGCCTCAGCTAGCCACTCTGTACCGGCCCCTTCTCAGGCGCAGCCCCGCTGGGCCTTGCAAGCTCCTTGCTCCTCACCTGGTGGCCACCTGCCCGTGAGCAACAGCCTGGACTCACTTGCTCACAGGGCCTCTGGGCCCTGGATGGAAACGAGGGCACCTGCTATTTCCTTCCAGCGCTGTTTGCAGGTCTACGATTTTTGCCTGCCTGTTGGTCTCCCATCAAAGATGGTCCCCTATGTGGACTGTGGCCTCCACTCAGCAGGACCCCATCTGCCCTGTGGCTCTGATCCTTGTGGGATGCACACCCGTGGACAAGAACAAGTAAACAAGCAAAACCACACATTAGCCTGAGCTGTCCTAGTCGGTTCCTCAGAAGCCTGCGTGTACTCAGGGCAATGAGAGCAAGAGAGGGTCCTGGGTGGGTCAGAACCTGGCCCAATTTTAACTTTTGGGTGCTAGGCAGCTTCGGGGGTGTCCAGAGCAGGGAGTGAGGCGTACAGACATGGTCCTGGGAAGACTTCTGCATGTTTCCTGGAGAGATGGGGAACAGAGGCATCAGTCTCAGGAGCACGAAGGGAGCTGGCCCTGGAGGGTGGGCAGAGGCTCGGTGGTGCCCGGAATATTTGCACATAGGGGTTCTGGCCTGCACGAAACTGCACAGTGCCTCAGTGCAGTGCCTCAGTGCAGTGCCTCAGTGCAGTGCCTCAGCGCAGTGGGGCTTGGGGTCATGGTCAGGAGGGGGCGCACTTGAGCTCAGCCTGAATGTAACTGTCTCCACCTCTCACAGAGAGCCACTAGGCCAGGCCAAGATCTCAGGTGTCCACCACAGAGGCTGAGCCAGCCAGACTTTCCTGAGAGTACAACAGCATCAGGAGGGTGAGCTGGGGAGTTGGTGCCCTGAGTTCCAGGTCAGAGGATGCACCTGAGCTGTGTGACACGATCCTGCTAGACAGACACGGAGGCTTACTTGAGCCAGGATTCTGGGGGGTCAAGATATGCAACAGTTAAATTGCTGAGGGGTCCTGGAAGCCCCCAGCCAAAGTCACCAGAGTAAAGCTAATCTGGGACAGATCAGGCACCATGGACTGGCATTGGGCGTGTGGTCTCCTGTAGAAGTGGGCGCAAGGCTTGGCACACTCAGAAGGTCTCAAACCCTCTCCCTCTGTGTTTAGAATGACAGGAAAATCACCTATCATCCTGGGACTTGAGACAACTTGGAGAACAGAAGGCCCTGTTGTTGGATGACTCTGAAACATGAAAACAGGGTGCTTCCCTATCACATGCCTAGCAGACTCATATCCATCCCAGCTGTTGATACCGTGGCGTCTGCAACTGAACCATCTGTCCCTGCCCCGGACTTTCAGGCAAGTCCCGCCCCATGGAATTTAGGCGCCTGGAGTGCAGTGGCTCCTGCTGTGTTGGGCCTCAGTGCCTCTGTAAATGAGGGAACAGGGTGCTCTCCACAGGGAGAAGAGCATCCACCCACCAGCAAAGCCAGGAATTCAGAGCACTTATGGTGGGCAATAAAATTAATGGAATAAAACGCTCCAGAAGATACGAACTACTCAGTGAGCAGGGTTGAGTCATACAGGGAAGACTGCCTCACGAATCTCACAACAAAGAAATCCTTACTTAATAACTGCAAACAACAGGTGCACAAGCAGCATTCTTCACTCACAATTTGACAGAGTCAGAAGTCACAAAGAGAAAGATACAGACAAATAAAAAGTCACGATGCTTTCAGAAACAAGAACAGTTGCTGGGGATGAAAGCCCGCGTGATAGACTTTACCCAAACGCTGGGCACACTGAGCCAGCTAAGGTCAGCTTTGCTCGAGTCCCCCCACAGAAAGCACAAAACAGGACGAAATCCTGATCTCTGCTCGGTGTTGTCTAGGTGTCACCCCGGGGGCACCCGGTGCTACTCACATTCTGACTCCACCAGAATGCTGCTTATGGGGTTGGGAGCCTGAGGCTCAGAATTCAGTAAAAAGCAACAGAATCAGCCATGCATAGTAGCACACCCCAGCATTGAGCAAGGCTAAGGCAGGAGGACCACAAGGTCAAGTTCTACCTGGGCAACTTAATGAGACTCTGTTTCAAAAAAGGGAGGCTGGGAATGTAGCTTAGTGGAGGTTGCCCATGGGTTTGATTCCTAGTAACACAGCTCTCAGTCCCACACAAAAAATAAGGAAACCCCAACCCATCACAGAGCTAAGGAAGAAATCTCAGTGGAAATTAAAAATATATTTATACCCAAACACTATGTGGCGAAGTTCACAAGATACAGCAAAACTCGTGTGTTGAGGGAAATCCATAGCCTGAAATAATGACAATGATACTAGGAAGGAAGAGAAGCTGAAAATGAATGAGCTGAACTTGCGGCTCAACTTAGAATAGGAAGAGATACTAAACTCAAAGAAAGTAAATACAGAATAAAAACAAGAATCAGTGGAAAACAATACACAGGCATGCCAGGAAACACCATATGATGCAGAGAGGGCTTTGTGAGAAAAACGAATAACATAACCTTTGGCATGTCTGACCAAGCCAAAGGAAAGAGAAAGTGCAAAGTAATGGTCAAGGTGAGGAAAGGGGGCAGCGTACGGAAACCATGGAGGAGAAGTGGCCTCCTGTGAGTCCAGCCCTTTTAACGCACATGTTTTCATCTGTGGTAGTTTATCAAAGGCTGACGCAAAAAGAAGTACAAAGCAGTTTAGTCCTGTGACTCGTAAAAATTGAAAGCAATTAGAAATCCTTCTGCAAAGCACACAGATGGCACTAGCAGTGAGTTTTACCAGACTTCCAAGGGCTAGATCATTCCATTCTTATACAAACAGAACAAAAAGAGAAAGTGCTCAGACAAGACTGGGATAATCCTGATGTCAATGCCAGTCAGAAATGGCAGGAGAATGGAAAATTACTAGCCACTCATGAAAAATATGGGAAAATTCACACCAAGCAATTTTCAGTCAGCAGCTAGGGCCGGCCAGATAGCTCAGCAGACTAAAGCACCTCCTTAGGCAGAGCGTAGGGACCAGGGTTCAATCCCTGGCATGCTGTGCTGGCCCTACCCCCTGGGCCTTGCTGAGATGGGGATTGAGACTGGGAATGGTGGTGTGTGCCTGTAATCCCAGCACTTGGGAAACTGAAAACAGGAGAATTACTATGAATCCAATCTACATAGTAAGACTCTGAGGACCCTGTACTAAATACATTAAAAAAAAAAAATTCAGCAGCTAATAGGAAAGATAAGACACTTGACTCACCAAGTATTTTCTAAGTAGAAAGGAGTGACTTAATACCAGAAACTAAATATATAAATATGAAAATCTTAAAATTATATGATCATTTAGAGAGACACAAGAACATTTTATAAAGATGAAATATGCTCAGCATAGAAAGGAACTTGGCCAGGTCAAATGCCATTCTGCTGGTGCAAGGTGAAAACATAGGTAGAGGGGATGTGGGTACAGATGGATGGCCTGCAGTTCCACAGAAGCTCAGCACTGTTCTTGACACAAGGGAAGCCTGAGGCCTTAGCGTGGTTGGGATTTTTGTCAGTGATTGCGTCAAATAAAGAGGAAAACCAAAAGAACATTTTATTTTAATTTTATGTATTTGATACAGGGTCTCACTGTGCAGCCTGGGCTCGTGGTGGTCCTCCTGCTTTCAGCCTCCCCAGCACTGCGATTACAGGTGTGCTCCACCACACCAGGACTCGGTGGCTGGCTCAGCGCGCCCAGGGATGGGGCCGGTGTGGCACGTGCTGCTAGGGATTGAGCCCCAGTCCCTGTGCTTGCCTAAGCAGGCTCTTAGTCCACTGAGTTGCCCTTCTAGTTCAAGAATCTTTATTTTTTATTTAAAATTATTTTTAAAGAATCTTTAAATTATTGAAAATAACAAGATTTTATAAGATATTGGATATAAAATTAAGATATTGAAATAGATTACATTTCTGTAAGCTAGCAACAAACAGAAAACTAACACATAACCATCAATTTTATTTTATTTTTATTTTTTATTTTTTAAAAATTTTTATTTGTGTGTGTGTGTGTGTGGCCAGCTCAGCCCACCAGGGGGCGGGGCTGGCTGGCATGTGGTGCTGGGGATTGAACCGTGGTCCCTGTGCTTTGCTAAGCTTGTTCTAAGTAGGTGCTTTAGACCACTGAGCCATCTTCACCAGCCCCCAGCCATCAATTTTTAGAGTGGAATCAGATAATAAATTCCTGAGAATAAATGTAATAAAAGATATCTCCGATCACCATGATAGATTTTTTTTTTTTTTAAAGTGTAGGAATAATTTATTGGGGAAAAAAAAGCTTCTAAGAGAGATAGAAAGGGACCTGGAAAGTGGGTGGCCATCAATCTTCCTTCGCAAAGTGTTTGTTTTGATCAAAGCCAGGAGGTGAGGCAGGTTCAAGGTGGGACAGAATTGTCATTAACCAAAAAGATTACAAGCATAGTTTCTTTTTTTCTTTTCTTTTTCTTTCTTTCTTTTTCTTTTTTTTTTTTTTTTTTTTTTTTTTTGGTGGAACTGGGGATTGAACACAGGCCCTTGCACTTGCCAGGGAAGTGCTTATTCCACTGAGCCATCTCCCCGGCCCCAAGCATAGTTTCTTAGGCGGTATTGATCCAATGTAAATTCACAAGGCGGGCATGAGATGGGACAAAACTATGGCCAACATATAAGATTACAATCATACTTGCACAGGTAATGTTGATTATATTTGGATCAAATGGGAAAAAGGTCATATAACCATGATAGTTTTGCAGTGGTACTAAGAGATACTACGGAGGATCACAAGAAGCGTGGAAGTGTCAGGTGTTTATAGATAAGAAGTACATATATTATAAAGAGGTGGACTCTCCTCAAATTGAGCTACAGTTTAGTGCCATTTCAGATAGGATACTAACGGAGCTTTTCATGGAAGGGAGAAACTTAGTCAAAAACACATAGGATGGGCCTGCCGTGCTGGTCCCACCCCCGGGTGCACTGAGAGGGCAACTGAGACTGGGCACGGTGGCGCACGCCTGTAATCCCAGCTCTTGGGAGGCTGTAAACAGGCGGATCACTAGGAGTCCGATCTAGTGGTGAGACCCTGAACACCCTGTAGACCCTTCCCAGAAAACAAAACAAAGCAAAAAACCCCAAACACATAAAAAATAAAGGGAGAGGGGTCTGGTGTGATGGCTCAGTGGTCTAAAGCACCTACTTAGAACAAGCTTAACAAAGCACAGGGACCGTGGTTCGATCCCCCAGCACCACA